AACGATATGTCGTAAGGTCTTCCATTACTTATTCAATATCCAGAATTCAATTTGAAGATAAACGCACGATATGCCGTAATGTTGTTGAAACTTCTTTCCGTCAACCGAAGACCAAAGAAAAAGCTTCCCTAGAAAATTACAGAGCCCGGTTGACTCACTGAGTCTTGCCTGTCCTCCAAATGAGCACAGAGCAACGTAGGCACATATGCAAGAACTAGCAGGTGAACGGAGGAAGAACGCTCAAACAAAAACACTTGCGGACGTGCAATGCTAACAAAACTTCGGGCGAAACGTTCGACACGTGAACGCACGCGAATACGTATGTGCGTTTCAATGAGTTACCTATTTGTACACGTGATTTCAACACATCGGCGGAAAGAATGGAGAACCAGCAGATCATGCCTGTCGTACGGGTAAGGTATAAGGTATAAGGAATAAGGTAAAAACACACGCAAACGCATCAATGAAATTAACCCGAGGTGGAAAAAAGGCAACACAACTATTTTCGCTATGCCATAAGAAACCAGGATAAGATTTTGAATTTCTGGGGTAACGCTGTTTAAAATATCAGCCTAACAGGTCCTTCGCTTCTCATTTCCTGTTTAGGTAGTTGACCCCAGCGCCAAGGACTTTTATCCACTGCAGCGCGCCAAATTTACAGAAGGAATTTTCCTTCTGTGAGTTTTACCCAATCAAGAACGGTTTTACTATTGGGCCGTCAATCACACAAGATCACGCCAGATGAAACGTGACTTGAACTATTTAACTATTTATAAATTCAATTGAGCTGTGCATTTTGTAGCCAAACATTATCGGGAACTGCAACGCACACAAAAGATTTAGTGGGCGTTTTTTTTTACTCCATTTGAGTATTTACCAAGGCCAGTTTTACCTGGCAGCCATGAGTAGGAAAAACATTACCGACTTGTTTTGACAAACTTTGACACACGCGTCAGGGACGTAAATAGTTCGCGCCAAAATGACGTCACTTGGTGCGTTTTTTTTTCAGGGGGAACAAGTTGAGCTCCCGCTCCCTCGCTAGACTTTCTTAAAGTCCTTCGCTCCTCATTTCCGGTTCCGGTAGTTGGATAGAAAATCTACCGCTCGCGCCTCGCGCCCGTGAAAAAATATGGGCTTGACTTGTAGGCAAGTCTACTCTCTTGCTTACTTTTCCTTCAGAAAAGATAAAAAATTTACCACTCGCGCTTCGCGCTCGTGAAAAAAATTTGGGTTAAATTTGAAGGCAAGTCTACCTAACAGGCAGTGTTCAAACTTCTTGGGTTCGGAGGCCAAGGAGCAAGGTTTTTGAGTTCAGTTCTAGCCCACTGCAATACCCAAAAAGAGGAAATAAATCCTATAAAGCTAAAGTTAATCAGTAGTATAGATATAATTAAATTATGAGCATAAAAAGTATCAAAATCGCATCTATATCTGACCGTTAGGGGGAAAAAATTATTCCGGCTTTCTCTGGGCAATTGGTGGTGTTTACCAAATACAGTTCCTAGGTGTCAAAATAAAATCTGTATTTTTGTTTTGATTAAGTGCTACAATTATTAACAATCCTTTAACAACTTCAAAGCAAGCGTTTGCAAACTGTTTTGATACTTAGGACCATTCCCATTCTTAGGGTTACGAGTGATTCTCCTTCTCTTTTTCGTGGATTATCTTTACATAAGTGAACAAACAAAACATACCTCCGGCTAGGATATACCTAAGCGGGTTTAAATTTTCACGGCTAGAAGGAAAAAAAGAGACAAAAACTAATAGGAATCATGCTCAGAAGTAACAACTTCACATCTCGCTGATATCCAAAGATGCATTCCATCGTTTTTCGGCATGGGTGCAAGTCAGGGAAGATAAATAATCAAGATTTACTTATTGTTTAGCCATAAAAACTGATTTGAGTTCATTTCGCGAGAATCTCAGTGGGGACTTCATATGAACAGGGAGCTTAAGCGGGGAGGTTTTTGAGCGACGCACATCAACCATACTGAGTGGACATTTTGAATTCTTCGGCAGTGGTTTCGCCCATTTCTTTCCGGCAAAGCGTCTTTATTAGAGTAAAAACACTTTGCATTGCAAACATGGCAGAGTCAAGGCATATTAAAAGAGACAAGGCTTCACTTCAGTTTGACATGTACCGCTCAGAAACGCCTGTGCTTAAGCTCGCTAATACTATGACAACGGCGGGCAACGATGATGTTTTGTTCATCTATAACAACGTGCACGGTTTCAGGCTATGGGTGATTTACCCGACCCATACATCGGGAGTATCTTCAAGTCCTACATTGCAGGGCAGCTTTGGTTCTTTCTGGCCAGATAGAGACCAGGGAACGGTTCGACCGGCTTCAAAAGGCGTTTAGGGTAAATTTTCGAGGGGATGTGGGCTTATTACTTCAGTATATTGCGTATACCTTTCTCCCTCTAAGGTGATTTTGCTAAGAATCCATTCATAGCTGAAGAAATAGCAACCCATTCCAGGAATATCTGCAACAGACATTCACAAAATGTGTTCAAGTAACTAAAAAAGGCAAAAAAAACGAGGCCAATATGCAGCCATTTTGACAGAAAAAGCTTGGTCAATAAACGTTTTATTATATGGCCAAAAGGAAAACGTATTCTAGAGGGATCAACGCGGGAAATCCCGAGAGGGCATAGGCCCATCGTGCCCGCTCATGTAGCCAATCAGAAAGCAGGCTTCGCTTCATCTTAACCGCTCATGGATTCAGCGATATAATAAGTATGTGTAATCAAATGGTGACGAGTGAAATTATTCCCTAATTTCGCGCGTTTTGTCCAAATCCTTATAATTATTATTATAATTATTCGGATTTGGACAAAACGCGCGTGAAATTATTCCCTAATTTCACGAGTATACCATTTGATTACCTATTAATATCATGGCTGATGAATTACGTTAGCAATCTTGGATTTTTGACATGTTTATACTGGATTGTGTCGATCGAGGACTCCACTCTCTCGAACGTTTAGAGCTTAAATTTGGCTCAAGTTCAGAATTTTTCGACAAAATACCTGTTAGAATCCTTCTTGATGTGCTCTCTCATGTGTTCAGGTTTTCTAAAGCGTCTTTTTATGCCCTGGCAGCTTCATTCATGACATTTTAAAACTTCGTCACCATCTTGACACTGAGACGTACGGAAGGTTGCCATGGCAATTTTGTAATTTCACATGTGAAATTACAAGTTAACGCTGAAATTTTGCGCCAAAATTAAGGAGTAATTCGTCACCTATGATATTAGAGAGAAAAATGCGCGTCATTTGACTGTCAATGTTTTAGCCATTATAAATGCTTCACTTCGCTATGTATCTACTAACCTCTGAGTAGCGTTGCGCATGTTCTTTTGTATAATGACGCTATACCTCTCTCTTTGCACAGCTGTTTCGCACAATTCATGGGACCTTTGTATGGTCGCTCTCCTCTGGAATTTTGTTGAACCCGCAAATTGTAAAGGAAGTGGCTTGTACAGTGATAGTCATTTTTACCTGTATTATCAACTTGTGTAATTGACTAGTAAGAAATTAATGATCGATCAGTTGAGTAAAAGTTTTCAGACTATTTTAATTAGTGTCTTAACAAATAGAAACACCATAGTCAGGGGCGAAGCCAGATTTTTCCAGAGGTAAGCACAATTTTTCAAATCTTCTTCGCTCCAATTGAAAAATCTGTGCCTTGATTAAAGGATTGTAAGCTTGGCTTTTGTCAAGAGCCATAATAGTCCTATTATGGCTCTTGCTTTTGTACATTATTCTAGCATCTTTAGGTGAAATATGCGAAAGCATAAAGCATCATTCGAATATTTTTGCGGCATTTTCCCGGAAAACTGTAACTTTTCTTCAGAGAAAATAAAAATTAATTTTATCTTTCAGAGAATGAGAAGACTGAGTTAAAGTCAAAATTGAAAATAAATGTCAAATGCTATCCTAATACAGCCGTTTATACGACTGTTTTTTGCTGTACCATTTATGCGTTTTTGTCACTAGCGTCAAAATTAATTTTCAAAAACACCTCTCTATGATGAAGATTATCGAGCATTTAAGTGACTTTTTGGGGCGAAGACAGAGCATCTTAGTGGAAACATCGGAGCATCATGGTGGAGAAACATGGTGGAGAATTTTAGTGGAGAAACAAGCGCATAATGAACAAAGGCCTATAGTAAGCTTAAGCATTTTTGCTGTGTATGAACTGACTTAAGTACTTTTGTATAAGTTTTTCTCGCCTTCTTGAGTTCATTGACTAAAGCAATCAATCGCTTATCATAAATTAAGCCAACAAGCTAGGTAGGATCTAAGACTTTCATTTATAAATGAAAGCCTTTTTTGACCGCTGTTTGCCACATTGTTTTTGACCGACAGAAGCAGTCACATTAACGTTATCGTTATCAAGATTCAAATGAAAACCGACTTTCTGATGTAGGAGAAAGTCCGTAGTTTTGAAAACCGACATTCGGTTGTGAAAAAACAAACAGTCCGTCTCCGGTGAATTAAGGAAGGGGGCACTGCAAATTTGGAGGGGGGTGGTCTGTTTTAGTGGGGATTTTACCTTTCGCATTAATATTTTAAATTAAATATCTACTCCCCATAAGCATTCAGTTTTTATTATTACTAATGTATTATCTGTGTCACGTGACTTGTCACACCCATTTTTGACTTTTTATTTCAATCCAAATTTACACCACTTTATAAATAACACTCTTAATTTAATTCACTTTTTGTCAATGACTATCTACACAAAGTTTATGGAATTAATCGGGGTTTTCTCAAATTATGTACGTTATGTAAACTGTAACGTTTCTTGTTAAGAGGGAGACTGGGACGAGAGAAAAATATCTAATAATTACGCAGGAATGGATCATTTCACAAATCCCCAATTAATTTAGCTTATTTGACTGTAAATGAAATATTATGGAAGGAAAAACGATTGTGGTCACATTCAGTAAACTGGTGTAATCTGCAAAGTCCAAATTTTGCATAATTATGGGCGCGGCTGGTCACGTGATCCAAAAAAAAAAGTGTTTAAGGTCCAAAGTGGTTCTGGTCTTAAACACAGCGGTCTAAGATTAAAATAAAGGAAGATACTGGAAAAAACAAGATCAAGTCATAAAACCCTGCATGTAATGAGGACCCATTCCTTAATTCACCGGAGGTTGTTATCGAAAAAAATACTCCAAAGAATCAAACAGAGTTAATCGGAATTGAGGCAATTTGTGTTGTTGTTGTTTTAACGTTTAGACTTACTTTTTAAAATTATTCTGCTTTTATGTTATTTAATTTATTTTTTTTACCCCCGACCTTTTTCAGGTACGCATGTGCTTACCGTGCGTACAGGTAGGTACGCCTCCGATAGTCCCTGCCAGCACCTGGCACCCTAAACAGCTTTCGTGCGCCATATATGAGACTGAGACTAGGTCTCTGGATCGCCAGGAGTTCAGTTTAAATCAACCTCTTAAATGTCCTAAACGATATTTTAGTTCACTTCATTCATTCTTTATATACGTTTTATAAAAAAAATTGTTAGCTGGCCGCACGTGTTCGTCCTATCCCGTTCTATCCCATCCCGAGCCAGTATTTTTGTAGGCATACCTTCCACCTTTTTTGAAAAAATCAGGTTGGTCTTTACGGAAAATCCACTATATATAACACATGCATTAAATGTAGAATGAACTTTATTATTCTGGTATTCTTTTTTCGCCATCGGAATGAATACAACGTGTACACACCATGACAAATTTATTTCAAAGCCGGCATAAAACTCAGTCAGGGTATAGTATAAGTCTGCTTGTAGCCTACGAAGCAAGGTTTTGTAATTGAATTCTGGCGCGAACTTTTTTTTTTTTTTGCTCTCATCACAACTTTGGCGCAGAACTCGCGCGGAAACGCTTGCTTTGCAGGCTAGTGTTCTACGTATAACAAGGGAGGAATATAAATTACTTGCTGCCATCTGTAAAGTATAAAAGTTAACAAAATAATTTTCTATCGAAGGACCGATTGCACGACAACTTTTGTATGTAGTATCAGCCGTTACGGGAACTATGCTTTCCTAAAACGCAGATCAAAGCGTCATCTCTTTACCTGGTAGCCTAGCCATTCATCCGAGCTACCAAGAGACAGTCTCCTTGTATTGTCATGTGCGCGTGTTTTTTTGGGAAACGTAACATTCTTTCAAGTCAAGGCAGTGGTATAGTCTGCTATACAGCCGTTTTTAGTGTCGTCACGCAACGCTCCTCCCCACTAACGGCTGCTGAAAATCGAACAACATTCCTTTCTCGCGATTAGCCAATTAGAATTCAGCTCTTATTTCCTGGAAGGTGTTCGCGTTACGTTTGAGGTATGGTGACTCCTCCAATCACAGCTTTGCTTTTATCGGTGCCCCATGTGCGAATGACAGAACAATCAAAATCGTCGCGTGAAAACAAGCAGTCGTTGTCGAGTCCTTTCAAAATTTTTGAGATAAGCAGCAACAACAAGAAAGTCTGTGCTTATAAAGCTGCCGGGTATAGTTTCGGGAAATCGCTTGTCGATAATTAAAGGGGCTATGTCAGCTGGAGAGCATGCCCTCTGAGGTTATGCAAATTACTTTCAACTGTCAAAATTCTATTGTTTTTAACGCGTGACTTTCTCCATGTTCTCTGTCACGTCCAAGGCTCCGAATTTAGAGAGGTTAACAAGCGAAATGGGTTTAGATAAGGGATATTTCGATAGAATTTACGGAACGTTTCTTCTCTGGTTATGCTAGATCAACAATAAAATTGTGACGACAATTTTACTTGTAGTTTTGGAGTAAAAACGCATGCCATTCATAAAATAGTGCGCAAACAAAAATTCAACAACAACATATTGTCTTATTCAACAAAATAAATCGAAGTTGTATTTTACAAACGAGCTACAAAAGACGCTAGACCGAAGATAAAGACCAAGACTGTTTCAAATCATTAACAATTAGACTCGTCTGTCGCTAGTGATTTTATAACTTAGATGCTGATAGAACAAGAGACATCAAGTCTTTGTTTTGATCTTAGGGAAACATACATTATCGGGCAAAATTGTTCGATCGTGCCGAATCACTGCGACGTCGAGAAAAACAGAACCAAGTATCATTGGTATACTACTCCACTATAAGCAGTCCGTTAATAAAAAGGGAAAGTAAACTCTGCTATTTTCCAAAAATATGCTCGAACACAAACAGTTCAAAAACTTGGCATTTACAGGATCTAACTCGTACTAAGGTGCCTCTCTAAGTCCGTTGAGAACAATCTGGACGAGCAAACGGTCGTGTTTATCTTTGCCGTGAATCCAGATAAATACAAGAAGGAATCTAGCCGAATTTTATAATTTTTTCTTCGCCAGGAGTTTAGTTTGGTCACGAAACTCAAGGCCTGATGCTCTTGTAATCGTTTACCTAAAACGGCCGCCGCCAACTCGATAGCCGCTTTATATATGTCCACATACTTTGAGCACAAGAAAAATCCAAGAACCAGCAAC